TTCCCCCCCCCCCCCCCCCCCCCTTCACTTCTGGCGCTTCTGACTTTTCAAAGGGTTAAAGAGATGGATCCGATCCCCCTTGTATGACATGCGTAACTCTCGCGTATCTGCCCTCCGTAGCCTGTCGATGGGGACGTGACGGAAGGCGATCGCTCAGATCGCATCCCCGGCAGCGGAGGACGAAAGGCGAATGGCTCCCGTCCCGTTTCGCCGATTCCAAGGACCTTTCTCGGTTGCATATCTCGACGGCCGACCTTCGCGACACATCTCGACGGCATATCCATCCAGTGGATAGGGTGTATCGATTATTGATTCCACACTCGGCTTCCTTTCACTCATGCGATACTTCCAGACGAGCTCGCAAATTTCAAGATCCGTCACGTGTCTGCGCCCCTCTCGAAGGCGAGCACAGGAGGAGGTGGAGGTGGAGGAGGTGAATGTGGAGGTGGAGGAGGCGAATGTGGAGGTGGAGGAGGATGACACGAATCCTTCACTGCGACTTTTTTGCACGAGAGGCAAAAATAAGTAAGGTTCCTGCAGTAATTACATTACGATTCGACTTTGATGTACTTGCATATCTTTCAGAATTTCCCATCTTCATAACTTCTACCACTTGCTGAGGGCTTTCATATGGTGGCATAGCCCTTCGATAGTGTCCTTTGACGCACGAAACTTTTGGGAGATCTCGCGATGAGATTCGATCTCGTTTCACTCGAATCGAGATGAGATCATGAGAATCAAACGGAAAACGCGTCCCGAGTCGGAAAATAGCATTAACATAACGCTCCGGCGTAAAACACCGGACGCTTAACCTTTAAAGGACTGGATTTTAAATGCCTTCATCTCCTCACGGCCAGAATTTAAATGACCTCTTCGACTCCGTAAGTGCCTATCAAAAATGATATTTTATTATTTTAACCCGACAGGCGACCCAATAGGCGGTGTTATAAGATGCGCTGTTCAGCGCGGAATATGATCCACATCGGTACTTAAATTGTTAATATATTACAATCGCTTAAGGACATCCTCCCGTTTTCTCACCTGAATCCCTCGAGGTAGATCAGACCACTCCGACCCTCCGCCACCTGCAAAGCAAAATCGAACTCTAAGCACCCATTCCGAATCCATTCGGAACTAGCCCCCACCCATTCGAAACTACCCTCCACCCATTCGGAACTAGCCCCCACCCATTCGGAACTACCCCCCACCCATTTGGAACTACCCTCCACCCATTTGGAACTAGCCCCAACCCATTCTGAACTACCCTCCACCGATTCGGAACTACCCTCCACCAGTTCGGGACTCCCCACCACTCACTGTCCTTCCTGCACTCGCCACGACCTCGAAGCAGCGCGAACCCGACGAGACCGAGGCCGCCGACCAGGACGACGGCCCAGACGTACAGCATCACCCTCGACTGTATCGCCCTCGACCGTATCACCCTCGATTGTATCACTCTCGATTGTATCACTCTCGATTGCATCGCCCTCGCTCCCCGTCTCGATCGGGACTGGTTCTTTCTTTGTCGGGACGGTCTCCTTTACTGGTCAGTGGGTCACTCGCGACCGAAATCCGACTTTCTTCCGTCGTATTCTCTCGGTGGGACTCGTTCCCTTCCCCGTTAAATTCTAATTCCTCGAGTTGAAATTCGAACGGGAATATCGGTGCATTCTTCTGATTTTATTCATTTTTTCTGAGTTTTTTTTGTCATGTTATTTGTATGGAGAAAGATCCCCTGCGATCCCCGAAAAAAAAACCTCGACACTCGCGGCCCCAAGGAACAAATCCCCTCATCCTATTCGCACTCCTCGACAGGATCATTTTTTTTTATTACTACAAAAAAGTCTTCGTCTTTCGCCCGAAAGCACCCGAGGCCTCCGATTCCCCTCGTTGATAGTCATGACATCTCATACCCGTTTCTCAACCGATCGCTCCCAGGAGAAGCGAAATCAACAACCTTCTCCTTTTTTTGTCTTCAATCGATCGCCACTGATCGTCAACATCGCTCACTTCGACTCACTTTCAACCCTTCCATCATCGCAAATCCGAAATTTCTGTTTCCGCTCTGACCCCAAAAAAAACTCCTGTTCCTCCCCTTACCCTCGATCCTCCCCTTTCCCTCGATCCCCCAGGAAAAACCCACCGAAACCCTTCTAATGAAGAGAGACGGGACGAGCGAGACTGGATCCACGCGGTGATGCTAGAGCGTGCGTCGCCATGGCAACCACCAAGCGAGTCTCCATCCTCCATCCTTCCCCCGCCCTCTCCCCATCCTCGATCCTTCATTCCCCGCCTCCGTTCGGCCACGTCGACACCCCCTCGAAGAGTCATGGACTGCCCATCCGTGGATCCCAGGTGAGTCACGAAATTGAGGGGAAATCTCGCGAGGGAGGACCCACCTGCGAGAGGGAGGACCTACCCACAGAGAGGGAGGGAGGGAGGACAAATTCAAAACAAACTTAATGCGTTGTAACACGCTGATTCCTTGTTCTGTTGACTCGCGCAATCGACCTTCGGCTATTTGAGTCGATTGTAATATGTCTTTATATATATATATATTTTTTTTTTTTTCCCCCTATGGTTTATTTATTGTGATTTGGAAGGAAAGTATTAAATGCAGATGCTGAAAATCTCTTGATTGGTGCTTGAACGCCACGATGTCAGGGCGGACGGGGCGCGAAGAGCTGATGCAGTGGAATGCGTCGGGTTGGCTTCATCTAAAGTAATTTGTTTTCGCGGTGGGTCCTTGCGGGTGTCGTCGAGGGATTCATCTATATTCATGGGGGAAAGAGCATCTGGAGGTGGGGCATTGTAAGTATTGTTTGGAGGAGTGTGTGAGTGGGGGGCATTATGTGTGTGTGTGGGGGGGCATTATATCCCTGCAGACTGGAATTTTCATCGTCGCTTTAACGTTTTCTCGTGCTGCTGCCATCGATCTTTTTTCAAAGGAAAACTGAATTTGTTCCCACCTGCGGTGATGGAGGATCTTCCAAATTCCACCGCACCTCTACGTAACTTTTTGAGAAATTTCAGAACAGTCGGCTCTCGGTGACGTCCGGGTCGAGATCGCTGGGAGATCGCTTCGCAAGGCGGGATAAACATAAACTACTAACTGCATCACCCGGCTGTGCCCGGGGAAAATTCAATATTTCATGCATGACAAATTGGAGAACGTTAGCCATATGGTTTCCTATAAGTTGGAGGTATAATGGAGGATAGTGTGGTGTGAGAGATGAGATCTTCCAAGACCGTAATATCGCGGCAAGGCAAAGGAGCGTGTGTCCCTTGAATCCCTCACGTGATCGATGGAATCACAGGAGTTCGGCCAACAGTTTAATACGGGGTAGCAAAGAAGAACGAAGACCGTTTCTGGGGAATAAGTGAAAGGTCGAGGAGAGCGAGACAGAATGCCTCTCCTGTGAGAGGATCAGCACCTGGCTATGAAGCCTGATGAAAGAGCTTCTGTGGCAAGAACACCTTCCACGTCAGAGCACTTCCTGTCCTGGCTCCAAGGAGGAGAGGAGTCTCCTATTCAATGGTGTAGGCAGGAAATCGGCAAGGGGGGGGGGGAGGGGGGTTGAGGTCAGGTGGACACCCCAACCCTACGCCTAGCTCCACCTTTAATTTACCTTTTCAAAGAAATCATGGTCTGGCATCTTGGGTCTGTGGACGGACCTCAGACTTGCCTCGAAGGGGCATAGCTAAAATTGGAATTCCCCAAGGAAGGTTGAAATATGCCTGTCAGTGTCACCGACCGGGAAGCCCAAGGGGGAGAGGGGGTCTAACCCCCTAAACCCCCCCCTCTTCCCTACGCCACTGCTCCTATTTAATGGCAAGGGTCCTCCTGCCCCAGGGTAGGGGGGCCGGTTTCGCACCCCTCGGCATGATAAGGGCCCAAAGAGGTGAGAGGAGTGAAAGAGAAGGTACAAGGACACGGGGCAGTAGCCCAGAGGCAGATCGCTTTGTAAATCGCTCGGAAAAATCGCTTTGATGGACGCTTTGAATAATTTCTAAATTATTTTGGAGTTAAGAAATACTTATTNGGGGGGTTGAGGTCAGGTGGACACCCCAACCCTACGCCTAGCTCCACCTTTAATTTACCTTTTCAAAGAAATCATGGTCTGGCATCTTGGGTCTGTGGACGGACCTCAGACTTGCCTCGAAGGGGCATAGCTAAAATTGGAATTCCCCAAGGAAGGTTGAAATATGCCTGTCAGTGTCACCGACCGGGAAGCCCAAGGGGGAGAGGGGGTCTAACCCCCTAAACCCCCCCCTCTTCCCTACGCCACTGCTCCTATTTAATGGCAAGGGTCCTCCTGCCCCAGGGTAGGGGGGCCGGTTTCGCACCCCTCGGCATGATAAGGGCCCAAAGAGGTGAGAGGAGTGAAAGAGAAGGTACAAGGACACGGGGCAGTAGCCCAGAGGCAGATCGCTTTGTAAATCGCTCGGAAAAATCGCTTTGATGGACGCTTTGAATAATTTCTAAATTATTTTGGAGTTAAGAAATACTTATTGGTAAAATGTTTTTATCGGTTTGAAACATATTTTCGATGAAAATTTGATCAAAAGAATATTACTTACTACCTACTGTCGTGATCCAGGTATGGGATTACCCCGGGGTACTGTAATGCAGGTGGCCGGGAGGGCAGAGTCGGATGGCACGAGAGGACGAAAAAAAAGGCATGGGGTGGCCGGGGATCGAATCCGGGTCTCACCGATCGCCGGTCTGGTGTGCTACCACTGCACCACGGAGTCCATGAGTCAGTTGTTGCTCTCCTTCCCGGGGTACCTACAGTACCTCGGAAAAGTACCCCGGGAGTGAAAATTTTGGATGGAAACATAGCCCTCGACCTTCCCCTGGATGAAAGAGTATACAAAGTATTCAGTGAATTCGTTTTAAAGGACAACGGGGATTCCAAGAAAGGGTCGAAAGTAGGAGAGAGTCGAGGGCCAATTCCAAGTCCATCATATTCCAATCGAGATTCGGCATGAAATCCTGGAATTTTGCGCGAATCATTTGAAGGTAAATGAACGTAACGCGAGGATTTTGCGAGGCCGACCAGGGCAAAATATTCAAGTTTAAAGTAAAAAAAAATTACATGCCGCCGATTTCATGATCATTCGGTTATGACTTACACCATTTGGTCAATTTTTTTTTAAGAGCAAAAAAAATGCATATTATCTGCCCTTCCTCATAGGGGCTGCAAAACCACGGCCTTCGATGACGTCATGGAAAAGACGTCTATTTATATTTGCAAATAATTTTTTTTCCCAAGTGATCGCTTCCGGAAGTCCCATTTCCTTTTGCATTCCAGTTCCTTTTAATCTCCGGATGCGCCAGCAAAAAACTCGCTTTATCATGGCGACAGATGACCAACGACGAGCTTACACGAAGGCATTGGACAGTATTGGCTTAAGTAATCAGCTTCCCTGATCTCGCGTTAGCTGATCGCATTTATCTCTGGCCCCGATTCAATGGACGAGGATAGGATTAGGTCCCTCCATGCTCGATCCGAGGCGTCAAAGACAGAGAGGAATATTTACAGTACTCGATGTAATCGTCCGGTTCCGACCGGCTCTGCGGCATTTCCGCCGACGCAAAGCACAAGAGGAATCTCCGCTGGATCCTCCTAAATCCGCTGGATCTGGCACGATGATTCCGTGCCAGATCCAGCCTCGAACGGATCATTCTATCTGAAAATACCCTTAGTCGATGGTCGTTCCACCGAGCGAGGTCACAGCCATCCACCGAGCGAGGTCACGGCCATCCGGCGAGCGTAGGATGCAGCTGTTCCCCTTGACTCGTGACCTCTCGGGTCGTTCTCGCCTGCCTGCAGCCCGTTCTGACGTCGCTGGTTATCTCCATTCGACTCTATCCTCTGCCTTCTTTCCCTTGCCCTTACTGAAACGGCTCTCACGATAATTCCTGCTACAGTGTATTTATTATTTACATCAGGGGTGTCAAACTGGCAGCCCGCGGGCCGGATCCGGCCCGCCAGGCCATTTTGTCCTGCTCGCGAATTCCTTTTCAACAGTTGGTTACGGAAAAGTACCGCAATTTTCAGCTTATTTGCCTATTTGATTTGGTGTTCAATTTTTATTGTGGCCCCTAATCGCTTCCATCCGGCCCCCAGCCTAATCGAGTTCGACACCCTTGATTTACATGTTTAATATCTCTGTTTGTAATATTTATATATTTCAAATATAATTAAAGCTACACCGGGCAAACAATTTTCGTTTCCATCAGAGCGGTGCTCCGAAGATGAACGCGACGTTTCCGCATCAGAAGCTGTCGTCCTTCTGCGGCAACCTGACCGCGACGATCGGGGAGCTGATGGGGAACCTCTCGACCATCCTCCAGGGGGAATCCGGGAAGGACGACGACGCCAGCGCCGTCGTGTACATCGTGGTCGTGCTCTCCTTCTACTCCCTGGGGATCGTGGTGATGATCTTCAAGTACATGCAGAAGGAGAAGCGGGAGTTTGAGGAGACGAAGATGTACTCGGAGTATCTGGAGGCAGCGAGGTCCAAGAACTTCCAGTCCCGGTTTCGGCCGATGAATCGTCTCGCGCTGAATGCGCTCAACACGGTGAACGTCTTCCCCGCTGGGGATAGCTCCAGGGTCACCTTCGTTTGATGTGTCGTCTGGCTTCTTCGTCGGGTAAAATAAATGAATATGAATCATATCGATGAGATTTTTGAATATGAAATAAAATGAAGCCTATCGACTACGTTGCACTGTGTTCTTCTGACGTCTCTCATGAGCCGCCTTAACTTCAATGACTTTCAATTGCCGGTTTTTTCCTCGTACACAAAGCACGGGAATGACGTCAATGTTGAATAGCTTAAGAAAAGACTCGATTCCAGGAATCTATGAAGATCAACGCATCACAGAGCTCTCTTTGGATAGGATGTCAAAGAGGATGAACCGGGTTGAAAGGAATTACAGAGCAGCTGCTCCATAACTTGAGGCGATGGATTAGGAGTTTCCTGCGCTTTTACTCCGTATCCTGGATGCTGCGGAGTGACTTCCACTGAAAAGTAATACGATTTGAAAGCAACTACGAGTGGAGATAAGCAGATAAAATTGTATTTAAGCCTGTAGAAAGCGAGAAGTTATTGGTATGGACTTCCATGACCCGGAGTAGTACAGAAATGGGGTCGGGAAGGAATCCAGCAGCTCGGGAGAAAAGTAAAGCCGCAGTGAAATCCTATAGGCTGGTTACGGGATGACGTATTCGGTGACGTCAGAGCATGGCGGTGTTTCCAAACATCCAGTCTGTTTCAACGTGGGTTGGCGGATATTTGCAATGTCTTTTCCCGTTAGACGAAATTGCGCAGTTCCTGTAAGTTGTAAGCACCATTGTAGATCAGCTCCAGGTTCAGTCAATTCCCTCGCTATGCCAGGCTAAAGAAAAAATGGAATCAGGCCTTTCCTAAGCGTAGCTCTAGTCTCGCTGCAGACCTTTGAAAGTGCAGGAGTTAATCCACATCCTCACAGTAACTCGCATGTCTTTATAACAACTCTTAACCAACTTCTAAATATATCCATTCGGCATTCCACTGTCCTACAATGGTTCAAAATTGCTGGGATAATTCCACTCCATGAGAAAGACAACATGCAAGATCCCACCAACTACAGGCCTACCTCAATCTTTCTAGTCATTTCTAAAATACTTGAGCATCACATTGCCAGCTCCACCTATTCCTTACTCTCTGATTTAAGCTTCCTGCATCCCAACCAATATGGCTTCAGACCACACCATTGTTGCCAAACAGCCCACATCAAATTCTGTGATGATGTGCTAAGAAACATGGTCAATGGAAACCTGACTGAAGCGGTATTCCTTGACCTCTCAAAAGCATTTGACTCAGTCCCCCATGACAGGCTCCTGGCTAAATTACCTCATTATAACATATCTCCCTCGGTAGTGACACTTTTTAAAAGCTATCTCTGGGACTGGTTTCAATTCATCAAATTGGGAAACAGAACTTTAGCAATCCACCCAACCTTCCTCATTGGTGTCCCCTAAGGTTCTCTTCTTGGTCTTCTCTAATTTATCTCATACATTAATGACCTTCCTCGAGCTATCACAAACTGCACAATTGGCCTCTATGCAGATGATGTAACCCTATATTTCTCATCTGCAAACCTGGATAAAATCTCTCCTAATCATCTGTGAAACCTTGACCAACTTGCTGAATGGGCCCCTGAAACACACTTATCATTAATCCTGAAAAAAAAACAAAACAAAAAGCTTACTGTACATGTGTATATACAAAATCTCAACCAAAACTGCTCCAAGTTACCTCTCCCCATATCTCTCTCTCCCAACCAGGAAATCCCACACAATATCTCCACTCCCTCAAATCCATGAAGTCATTTGCCTCCCACAAGCCTTCACAAAAACATCCCATGAAAACCTCAATTAAGGGGCATCAAGCATTGGAATTCCCATCTTCTTCATCATATGTTTGATGCCTCTCCTGCTCACGAAGTAGTTGAGCTATCAGTTAAGTTCCTGTATAGCCTACTAACGTGGACAATAAATAATTCGTCCATCAGGTATGGGAAGCCCAACGTTGGGTCTAGGCCTAATGTTATGCTTTTCAAAATTGAACTCTGGCTACGGATAGCAAAGGCCTATTATGAATAGGCCTAGGATTAAGGCTTAAGTAAATTTCCATGCTCTTAGGGCCAACGTTGCGAGATTTTCCCTCACCTCGACTGAATAGGTAACATACTTCTTACTGGCAAAAACGTTGCCGTGCGTAGTTCCCAGCGTTCCTACATAAAGGAATTTGTGAACGTCTTTTGATTCATATGCGAGTTCACATATCTTAAGAATTGAAATATCATCAGCAAAAAAGTCTGCAATTGCTGAACAAGGCACAGGGCCCGTGGGGCCAGAGAGAAAATAAAGGCAACACATGGAGAACAAAACCCTATTCGGGATTGTTTGGAAACAGCACGTGCACGCTGCGGTCCCCGTGACGTCACCCGTAACCAGCCTATTGAAAAGTGGCCAATCCGTATGCCCAGTAGAAAACACAGAATCTTGGGTTAGACATTTCAGCCAATCAGGGCCTGTGCCGGACCTTTCAGCCAACCAGGGCTCGGTAAAGGGAGAGGACAGTCTGAAACGGGGAGAGAGAGGCCGAGGCAGGTAGAGAATGACCCACGATTAGCGGAGTCGAGCTGGTTTGAGACGACAGTCGAGGCAATCTGTCTGCTGTTACTGCCAGCTTGTCATCTCCAGAGTCTGCACGGAGTTTTCCTCGGCAGATGCAAGTTGATCGTCCGTGAAACCGGGAGGCCTATTCTGTCGACTTCAGATTGAATTTCCCCAACCGTCCTGCGAGGTCAGGTACGATATTGCCGAGGGCAGCCTGGAAACGACTCTCTTTAGTGTCGTGACATTCTACGTTCTGTGCGTTCCTGCCTCAAAGTCATGTGCACATTTTATTATCGTTTCGTGTATCTTGACGCCTCTATCTCGCTGTGCGATAGCGCTTCGTTTCCTCCGTCGATTCTGGCCATACTTGTGAGTTTCTACACCAGATGTTGCGTGGTTCTTTGCTTACTTCATATTGTGGGACTATCACTCGGCGAGATCACGGAGCAAAAATTTACAAGTTAAATATGTTTTATCAAGCAATCTTGTGGCAGCTATCGCGGTGTCACCTTCGTTACATTTGTAGACATCGGATGAACTCAAAATATTTTGGTTCGGTTCGGGGGTTTGGGTCCCTTCCATCTGAGAAATACTCAAGGGATGCTCCTTGAAGAAGCGGGTTAGCAGAGTGGTTTGGATTCCGATAATCGAGTTCGGCTGATGGTTCCTTCGCGCTGGAAGCCTGTTACTTGCATGGCATTCAGCCTTACCAGGCTAGACAGGGATGTCAGATCGCGTGGCGCCCTCAGATAAAATACCTGTCGTTTCGGGAAGAACGAGCTGAACTCACACTTGAAAAAAGGAATTGGTTCGCGTCGACTTCATGGGTTTCAGCCTCTGCAAATCTGGTTCAGCTCGGGTAGCGATTAATACAAGTAGTAGCAATTAGTCCCACCATTAACGAATAGTTCATTACTTTAATCTCGCTTCTTTCATTAGCGATATCTCCTCGCCTGCATCGTGGAAATAGCACGCACGATTTTTAAGGGCGATGCGAGTTCATCGCATTGCTGTATTCGCATGGATGTTCGGAATTCCGATTCTCGTCAGTTCGGGTTCGGATGCGACCTCTACTCACAGGGGACCGCGGTGTCCCGCGGTGCCAGGTTTCACGAGTCCGACACGGCGAACCCGGCGGTCCGACAGCGTTCTCTTCTCAGAAATCACTCCCGACGCATGCTCGAAAGCAGGCCTTGGGTTGGATGAGGCGGCGCTCAGAGACAAAATGGCTCGGCAGCAGGACGGTTGTCGTGCGTGACCTTCCTGAAACGATGACGTGATAGCGACTCAACGCTATCACTTTTGTTGTCTGCTGCTTTCCTCCTTCCTCACTGAAGTTCAGGTCTGGTCCTTTCATGCCCAGGAATAGTAATCTAGGCCTATGTAGTCTAGAATTTGGCCATTGTCCTGCATTGACGGAGTGACGTTGAGTGTACGTTTCAAGCCGATCTCCTGGCCTAACTTTAGGCTCTCGTGAACTTCCTCGCGATGGAAGTTTTAAGAAAGTGATGCTTGTAAGACTGACTTTCCAAGCGCAATATGTGAGGCAATTACCAGAGCGATCGGGTTCCGTATCCCATGGAAAGTTACCATATAGCAATTTATGCGGGCTTAACGTTAACGTTAGGTTTAGGAGTGCGAAGCCCGTTCACGTATTGGTTTCAGTCCAGATGGTTTTCAAAGCGACTTCTTTGAGTCTTACAAATACTGAACAAGAGTTTCATGAGCCTAATTCTCTCGTTGAGGGAAAGGTATCAGGATGAAATGTGAATAACACCCCATTGCAGAATCTTTAAAGGTGACTCATTTGAGCCAGCAGTTCCCATCTAATCGACTGAGCAATGCATATCTTATTCATTACTCTGATCTGCTACAGGTTATTGTCTAATAACAAAAAGAACAAAGATGGAAACACACCTTGTCTGTTTTCTTTATTCTGAGCCATATGCCACCAAAATAAAATTCAAATTTTGATATGGTTTGGCCCTCGAATTTCTGTTCCTTTTGTTCATGTTAATGAAATGTTTGACCTTAAAGGTCAACCAATGCTCATGCCGTTTTCCCTCATGATAGGCCTTTTGAGGCTTGTTTAGGCTCTAGGTCAAAATGCCTATGAGGTTGGAAAGTCCCAATGAATCTTGCAAACATCCAGGTCACATTTCCTATCTGAAAGCACTCACCTCAACACCCCTCTTTGCCTTTGGTCAAAACTTTACATAACTGATAATGTAGCCCAAGGCCTAACCTGAACTATTAGAAGTCCATGAGAATCCTAGTAGTATTTACATAGATATATTTGTTCATTTTACAGGTAGGTTAAGAGAAGTGTGAAAGATGGCAGACTGTGGAGACTCAAAGGCTCCGCTGAGGACTGTGAAGCGGATGCAGTTTGGCATCCTCAATCCCGATGAGATTGTGAGTGTTCCATTCCTTCATTAATAGGTCTTTTACATTTTGCTAACCTAAGGTCTGTAGCAATTTTAAGACCTCTATTGATGTGCAAGTCCCAGTTAAGTTGATTCTTAATACCCCCAGGCCTGGTGCCTCTTTGCTGTGGATATCTGCTTGAGAATGAGAGAACTGGCTTTTTGTCTGGTAAAGATTTTAGTTTTTCATAAAAATCCAGAAATAAATTCTGCCCCTGCTTTGACTTCTTTCATATGAATGTAATCTCTTGAGATATTGTATGTCCTGGCATTCTGGACAAACTAAGTCCTTTTTTTATGGGCATGGCCTACATAGGTATTGTGCTAGCTTTTTGAGATTCTATTTCTGCACAGCATCTAATTTGCATGTGAAAAGTATAATGCTATGCTTATGTCAATAATATTTTGTTAAATATCTGTTGCTACAGATTACATCATTCCTCACAATTTTAACATTTTTTTTGCTGCACTGCCTTTATATTTGTTTATCAATATTGATTTTCATCAGTCAGATGGAGAAGGTAATATATATGAAATAGACAGAAGCTCTCATCCCCCAATTTCTTTTTGTTTTATCTGTGTGATGATTCTGTATTACCTGCAACTCTCAGATCAGACCAGTATCTTCTTAATCAGACCCTGCAGATTGGCAGATACAAATTTTTATGGGTGGAATTAGTCAAATAGAAAAAAGAAAAGAACTTTTAAGGGAGATGTATAAATGTTATCAATTCTTTCATTATCCCTTTCAGACCTGAATTAAGGCTGCTATTAGAATATCTTTTTTGCATTTTTGAGCTCTTTCATGATTGTAATTGAAAATTTTGTACTTTATATATAGTTTTCATATTTTGTATTAATTTACCATATTATACCATATATTATGTATTAAACATTTTATTAAACAACTGAAGATTAAAAACTAATGGGTAAGAGAAGGCCTCTGATGGAACTGAGCCATGCATAATGGTGCCCATTTTGTGGCATAATATTGAGTGCAAAATCATGAAAATCCAAAGAAGCTGCTATAGACACAATGTAAATTCAATGTCCATTGGAATGGATGCCAGGTCTGGAAGGGTTAAGGAATAGGAAATTAAAACTTTATATTGCTTCTGATTTTCAAGCAAAGATAGTTCTGCGTATGCATTTGTATGTTCTAAGTGGGCTAAGAGCAAAGTGTTGTAGCAGGGATAGAGATGGAGAGAGTATTAGCTCCTCTGGGTAGACCATTCCCAGGACTTGCAGTAAATGAGCTACTAATTTATTAATGGTAATATATCTTCTGGATTTTGCCTTGCTAGCGACGGATGTCTGTGACTGATGGTGGGATTCGTTATGCCGAAGTATATGAAGGAGGACGCCCTAAGCTGGGTGGCCTCATGGATCCTCGCCAGGGAGTCATTGATCGTAATTCCCGCTGTCAGACGTGTGCTGGTAAAATTCATATCATTCTTCCTCGGGTCTAGCATGAGGTTTCATGAGCTTTACTATCAGTCAGCAACATAACATGGATCTTCTTGTGATTTGCAGGAAACATGACTGAATGTCCTGGTCATTTTGGACACATTGACCTTGCCAAACCTGTTTTTCACATTGGTTTTCTTTCAAAGACTATCAAGATTCTACGTTGTGTGTGCTTTTACTGCTCAAAACTTCTGGTCAGCCCAGTAAGTGCAGGATCTTAATGCCATGAATTAGAGATGTTTAATTGTGTATACTTAATTTAAAATGGCTCCTATTCTTCACTAGACCCATCCAAAGATCAAAGAAATTGTGGTGAAGTCCAAAGGTCAGCCAAGAAAACGGCTTGCCCATGTGTATGACCTGTGCAAAGGAAAGATGGTCTGCGAAGGAGGGGAGGAGATAGAGACGGACAATCCCGATGACCCTAATTCTGGCAAGTCAAAGAAGCCTGGACTCCACAGTGGCTGTGGACGATATCAGCCCAAGATTAGGCGTACCGGTCTGGAACTCACAGCTGAGTGGAAGCACGTAAATGAGGATTCCCAGGAGAAGAAGGTTGTTCTGAGTGCTGAAAGGGTTCATGAGATATTTAAGCATGTCTCTGGTGAGAACTCCTTTCCCTTAGTTTTTGTTTTAGTCCATGGTATATCTGGATTAGTTGTAAAGTGAGACTGTCTCAATCTTCATTTTGACAGATGAGGAATGCTATGTGCTTGGAATGGATCCTAAGTATGCACGACCAGACTGGATGGTCATCACTGTCCTGCCTGTTCCTCCTCTGGCTGTGAGGCCAACGGTCACCATGTTTGGTGCCAGGAGTCAGGATGATCTCACACACAAGCTTGCCGATATCGTCAAGGCTAACAATGAGCTTACTCGCAATGAGCAGTCTGGTGCAGCTGCTCACATCATTGCTGAGAACATCAAGATGCTACAGTTTCATGTGGCAACCCTCATAGACAATAACATTCCAGGGCTGCCTCAGTAAGAGATTGCCATTTGTCAAATTTAATTTTATTTCTTCACTATGTTTATATCTATATGGGCTTCCTGCCTAATGCTTTTGTTTTCATTGTACAGGGCCACACAGAAATCTGGTCGTCCTTTGAAGGCCCTGAAGGCGCGGCTGACATCAAAGGAAGGCCGCATTCGTGGGAACCTCATGGGGAAACGTGTTGATTTTTCTGCTCGAACAGTTATCACCCCTGATCCCAATCTTCGTGTGGATCAAGTTGGAATCCCTCGCTCCATTGCGCAGAATCTGACTTTTCCTGAGATTGTGACCCCATTCAACATCGACAAGTGAGTGACTTTAGCAAAGATATCTGTCGATTAAAGTTGCAAGACAGTTATGGCCTGGTGAGTGTCAGTTGTGTATGTGAAGAACCTGCAATTAACTGGCAATTTTCAGTTCATTTGGAACCATGGTAATGTAGCTCATAAAATATCAAATTAAAATTTAGCTGTCTATTGTGACATAGAAAGGTTAACTCTGCGTTGCCAAGCACCCATGGACTGCTAACCCCACCATTGTGTCAAGTGGTCTAAGGGAATATCCTTTATATCTCTGCAAAATCATAGTCCAGCCTTTTCAATTGAACATTCTTGTTGCATTTGAATTACTGAGAATTTCATCTGTGAGCTTCAACTTAATAATAGGATGCAGGAGTTGGTGCAGCGAGGCAACTCTCAATATCCAGGAGCCAAGTACATCATTCGTGACAACGGTGACAGGATTGATCTTCGATATCATCCCAAACCAGCTGATCTCCATCTTCAGTTTGGATACAGGGTATTCAATTGCTGAGTACTTCTGATTTTAGGCCCTGTTTCATGTAGGATTTCTTCAAGCCGGTTTTTTTTTTGTTGCCCATCTACAGGTGGAACGACATATTCGTGATGGGGACCTGGTGGTATTTAATCGACAGCCCACATTGCACAAGATGTCTATGATGGGCCATCGAGTGAAAGTTCTTCCTTGGTCAACTTTCAGAATGAATCTCAGGTATGTGTCCTTTCAGTGAGAGCACCAGATTTATTGGGTTATGAAAGATTTGATTCATGAGGGTTCTGCAAATCTTCTGCAGTTGCACAAGTCCATATAATGCTGACTTCGATGGGGATGAGATGAACCTCCACATTCCACAGAGCATGGAGACACGAGCTGAGATAGAAAACCTTCACATCACACCTCGTATGGTTGTGACGCCACAGGCAAATAGACCAGTAATGGGTATTGTGCAGGACACATTGACAGCTGTGCGGAAGATGACAAAGAGAGATGTGTTCCTAGAGAAGGTAAGACAGTTATCCTTTGCTGCATTTTCTCTTGCCATATCATATCTGTTTTATTGTTACTATGTGTATATCTTATTTCAGGATCAAATGATGGACCTGCTGATGCATCTTCCCAGTTGGGATGGGAAAGTCCCACAACCTGCTATCCTAAAGCCAAAGCCACTCTGGACTGGTAAGTGTTGAAGAAAAAAAGAATTTCCTAAGAAATGGACATTACCTATTGTTCATTCTAGCATAATCCAACTACTCTTTGGGATTGCAGGCAAGCAGTTGTTCTCATTGATCATTCCTGGGAATGTGAACGTCATCCGCACACATTCAGCTCATCCAGATGATGAAGATGAAGGTCCTTATAAGTGGATATCTCCTGGAGACACCAAAGTTAGTCTTCATCCCTCTTTCATTGATCTTGATGGTCTTGGATGTGAGAATTAAACATATTGGTATTCAGGTGTTGATTGAACATGGAGAATTGGTGATGGGGATCTTATGCAAACGCACATTGGGTGCATCAGCTGGGTCACTCCTCCACGTTGTCTGGTTGGAACTTGGCCATGAAGTTTGTGGCCAATTCTACTTCCAAATTCAGACTGTAGTCAACAATTGGCTTCTCATTGAAGGTTCTCCTCACCCTTATCTTGATATGTTCGTATGGTGTATATAGCAGGGATGCACAACTGATATTCATATAATGCACATTGAAAAGGAAAAGAAAAGAAAGGAGGTTCCCCCATTTATGCACTTACATTTGGGGAATTGTCAGAATGAGTTTTGCCAACTGTCTCTTCAAAGAAAATTTATGGATCAGAGGTATGGTAGCAAGACAGAATCTTCTCCAAGGCATGAAGAAAAGCTCTTACAGAAATTCATTGGCATAGTCTAATGTGAACAGCATATCTTTGGCCTTTTCATTTCCTTGCAAAATGTTGGGCAGGATTTGATGCTGCATGATGTGCAGAGATCAATAAGTTCCATCCAAACATTAGTTGTGCATTCTTGATATGCCATATTTGAATGTTTTGGCCCTAAGCATCAATCTACATGTATTGTGTGATTCATGGATCAATACACAGGGCACAGCATTGGTATTGGAGACACTATTGCAGATCCCCAGACTTATCTGGACATTCAGAATACTATCAAGAAAGCCAAAGAAGATGTGATTGAGGTGATCCAGAAAGCTCACAATGATGAACTGGATCCCACTCCTGGAAACACTCTGAGGCAGACCTTTGAGAACATGGTGTGCAATCTTTTCATATGTGGTTATTCTGTTAAACCAAAAGTACTGATGTTGATAGCTACCTATTTCTCCTTGTAGGTGAATCGAATCCTTAATGATGCTCGTGACAAGACAGGAGCATCAGCCAAGAAGTCCTTGACAGAATATAACAATCTGAAGGCGATGGTGGTTGCAGGATCCAAAGGCTCCAATATCAACATCTCTCAGGTTCCTGCATAACTATTATAAAGTTCATTATTTAATTTCATCATGTTTTTGGAATGGGAAACCTTTGGATGAGGTGCTTGGTGGATTTTTTGTTGAGCCTTCTATGTCCTTAAAAAGGCAAGAGGTAGCATGTATGTATTTCCTTTGATCCATGCAAGTATTATTTTCTGTTTTACAGGTTATTGCCTGTGTGGGGCAGCAGAACGTGGAAGGAAAGCGAATACCCTTTGGCTTTCGTAAGCGGACTCTCCCACATTTCATCAAAGATGACTATGGTCCTGAATCCAGAGGGTTTGTGGAGAACTCGTACCTTGCTGGTCTCACACCGTCCGAGTTCTACTTTCACGCCATGGGTGGTCGTGAAGGTCTCATTGATACTGCTGTGAAGACTGCTGAAACTGGTCTTTTTCTCCTCTTCATCTCATCCTGTCTTTGTGGAGTAGACCCGAAAGGAAAATAGTCAGTTCATGGAACTGCATGATGTGATTTAGGTTACATCCAGCGTCGATTGATCAAGGCCATGGAGAGTGTCATGGTGTGCTATGATGGAACAGTGAGAAACTCTGTGAGTCAACTGATCCAGTTGCGTTACGGGGAGGATGGCTTGGCCGGTGAATATGTTGAGTTCCAGACCCTACCTACTGTCAAACCCTCCAATCGTGCCTTTGAGAGCAAATTCCGATTTGATCCCAGTAATGAACGGTAGGTTTTGTGGCAGACTTGTACTCTCTGTACAGCTACACTTTATGTTCAGCCTTCTGATTTGTTACATTATGACTTGGTCTTATATTAGGCACCTGAGACGCATCTTCAACGAAGACATCGTAAAGGAGGTGATGGGGAGTGGGGAGATCAATCGGGAGCTGGAAAAGGAATGGGGCCAACTCTCTAAGGACCGAGATGATATTCGAAGGGTGAGTGTACATGCCTGCTCTTGAAGTTATCATATCTTTCCCCTTGAAAGAAAGAATAAACTATTGAGTGACCTTATCATTGCAGATCTTTCCAACTGGAGAGAACAAGGTTGTTCTTCCATGCAACCTGCAACGTATGATCTGGAATGCACAGAAGGTCTTCCACATCAACAAGAGAGCCCCAACTGATCTTAGCCCCATCCGTGTCATCGAAGGCAAGTTTTATTCTTTTTATGTTCTCTTAGTTTAGCATTCTGAAAAATTCAGTGAATATATGTAAATTGATTCTGCTGTTTGCAGGTGTGCGTCATTTGCTGAAAAAGTGTGTCATTGTGCCTGGGGAGGACAGCCTGAGCCAGGCAGCTAATGAAAATGCAACCCTCCTCTTCTCGTGTCTCGTTCGCTCAACACTCTGCACCCGCCGTGTTGCTGAAGAATTCCGTCTTTCATCCGAAGCCTTTGAATGGCTTCTGGGTGAAATTGAAACTCGTTTCCAGCAATCAATGGTGAGAGCACGCATTTAAGATGCTTTTATCATTTGAGTTGCTTTGAACTGTAGAAAATTTGCAGTTGAGCATCATAATATAGAACTACATGAATAGCAAGCAGCTGGCTGTGGTTCTACAGCTTGACAAGTTTTAAACTTCTTGTTTTTAAATTGGATTCCTGAATACATGACTCAACTGAATGAGGTCTACTTCAAACTCATGGCTCAATAGTCCTTGAATGAAGAAATTAATATTTTTGTCTGTATGGTACCTGTATGGTGCAATGTTTGGGTTATACCACATCTTCTGATGAAGGAAGTCCATCAGTTTTGTTGAGGTATGTTTTTAAAAAATGCAAACAATGCTTTCTGCTAGGCTCAACCTGGAGAGATGGTGGGAGCTCTGGCTGCCCAGTCTTTGGGAGAACCAGCCACTCAGATGACCCTCAACACCTTCCACTTTGCAGGAGTGTCCTCGAAGAACGTCACCTTGGGTGTACCTCGACTAAAGGTAGGATTAGATGGACCAATTCATCTTGTTTCATTTAATGAGGGACATGACCAAAATCCAGGGTTGATTTTTTTAATAGGAAATCATCAACATCAGCAAGAAACCTAAGGCACCTTCACTTACTGTGTTCCTCACTGGGGCAGCAGCCCGAGATGCCGAGAAGGCCAAAAATGTCCTCTGTCGCTTGGAACATACCACACTCCGCAAGGTTAATGTCTTGAATGCTGTAGGCCTAACAAACACACCACTTGTGTGATAATTATCAGTGGCAGCTTATCCTGGAACTCCTATTCCATTAAAGGTTACAGCCAACACGGCCATATACTACGATCCAGACCCACAGAATACAGTGATATCTGAGGACCAGGAGTTTGTCAATGTGTACTATGAAATGCCTGACTTTGACCCCACTCGCATCTCTCCTTGGCTCCTTCGCATCGAGCTGGACCGCAAGAGAATGACTGGTGAGACTCTAATAGTGATGTATCAAGTTTTCTTGCTCATTGCAACATTTGCATTTATGCTGTGCACAATTAAATGCAACAGATAAGAAGCTGACAATGGAGCAGATTGCTGAAAAGATCAATGCTGGCTTCGGTGATGATCTGAACTGCATCTTCAATGATGATAATGCCGAGAAGCTGGTCTTGCGAATCCGCATCATGAACAGCGATGAGAACAAGTTTGCCGATGAGGAGGACACGGCTGACAAGATGGAAGATGACATGTTCCTCCGTTGCATAGAAGCAAATATGCTCTCTGACATGACACTACAGGTATGTGCTGTCTTTGACATCTGTCCATGCCTCTGAGTGTTTGTTATGAATAATTTTTTCTTTCTTTTTTGATGTGGTAGGGAATTGAGGCCATTTCAAAGGTGTATATGCATCTCCCAACAACTGATGCCAAGAAGCGCATAGTTGTGACAGACACCGGGGAATACAAAGCAATAGCCGAATGGCTCCTGGAGACAGACGGAACCAGTCTCATGAAAGTGCTGAGTGAACGGGATGTAGATCCCATCCGCACCTTCTCCAACGACATCTGTGAAATCTTCCAGGTCCATACCAGTGATATCCTGTCTCCCTGTGTTAGCTATGGTCATGATTTTCATATATTGTGTCCTTCTGACAGGTCCTGGGAATTGAGGCAGTGAGAAAGTCGGTCGAGAAGGAGATCAATGCTGTGCTGCAATTCTATGGGCTGTACGTCAACTACCGTCACTTGGCGCTGCTATGTGATGTCATGACAGCAAAGGGGTACCTCATGGCAATCACTCGACATGGCATCAATCGGCAAGATACAGGGGCTCTCATGAGGTATGCACCTTCTTATTCAGTACATGACACCATCACATATGCCAATTTTTTACTGTATCCGAACCTGTATTAGAATCTTAGTTGTTCTCTAACCACACTTTGTACAGTATTAAATATATTTTATACAGTTAAATTTCCAAGTCGATTATCTATTTGTTTCTCTTTAGTCAACTCATCTGAAATATATCTGAATAGCTGCACCCTGAATGCCAAGTAGATGCGCATGTCCTAGACTTCCTCCTATATTTTGTTTTCCTCCTGGGTAGGTCCACTTCAAACCTGTCTCCCATCCTGCCCTCTGACTCACTTTGTGTTGTCCTAATAGGCTTGCACCATTGCTCTCCTTAGTGAAAGGACAGTGTGCTTGCTCTCTTGCTTAGGCAGAGACTCATTGATTTTTTTAAATGCTTTTATGTGGTGTCTTTCTCAAGCATGTAATCTCCATGAAAATTCTATTTCACTTCCCACAACAGTCATTAACAGTGTGCAGCTTTGTCAAGAAATAATGTTGGCTAGGATTGGTGTCTGAATCTGAACATCTTCAGCATCACCTGGTTCTAATTCTTGTCCTTGAGGATTTAGTAACAAGAGTTTTTTTTGGTATCCCATCTATGGATTACTGGCACCAATCTTGAGGAGCATATTTAGGGTGAAATAGCAAATTTTTTAGTCAAGAAACCAGAACTGAAAGGAAAGCATGTCTTTTCAAAACTTGGACTCCATTTATTAGGAAATCAGTAGAATGGGAATTACCAGTAAATATATTTCCCCTTACCTGGAAATTCCTTTGTTTTCCATTTCCTTCCTGTGAATCTTGTGAGTCCATGCCTAATTAACACACTGGCTAAGTTTTATATTTCCTTATGTCTGCACTGCAGGTTGTATACCTTGCTGCATATTAAAATGCAGCAAGGTATACCAACTTTGAATGTTTAAGCATGACCCTGCTGTACACAAGTGCATATTTCCAGTGTTTGGGGACAATCCAAGAATGGCATTATTCCCACTATGCTCCCATTTCTCTTCCTTCACTCACATGACATTAGCCATATTGAGTGGTTGTAACTGTGAGCTTATATTGTCAAGGCAATTATATAGCTTATATTGTCAGGCAATTATATATATATATTTATCAATAATGGAGTGAATAATGCACAAATAATTCTTACTGCTAGGGCTGTTGACCCAGTGCATCTGAGTGGTTCTTTTGAAGTACTTCCCAAAATGTTTGTGCCTTAATGATGGGAACATGAATTTAATCCTGTTGTGCTTGAGGGCTCCACTCAACCCCCTGGATAAGCAAGCCCTATCAGTTCTGATTACCTCCTGCATCATTGACAAACTACAGGGTGCGGCAAAATTATGGGAACATGACCCCCAACCATGGTGAAAAGACCAATCACTCAGTAAATATCTTCATTCCGCCTCAGCCTTCCTAGCAACAAATAAGTGAATAAATCAGGTTAACTTTTTCTACGTTTCTTAGGATGATCAAGAGGAGATTTGAACATACCAGTGCCAATGCGAGCTAGCTGTCCCAGCATGATATTTTCTGATACACCCCTAAGGGGATCAACTTCAGCNTACAGGGTGCGGCAAAATTATGGGAACATGACCCCCAACCATGGTGAAAAGACCAATCACTCAGTAAATATCTTCATTCCGCCTCAGCCCAATATAGTCTACTCAAAATGACCTCCCCTTGCATCGATTAACGCTTGCAGTCGACGTGGAAAGTCGTCCACGGCACGGTCGATGAAAACTTTTAAAATGTTTGGTAAGGAAGTCATGTTCCCGTAATTTTGCCGCACCCTGTATGAGAGTGCATTCTCTGTGAGAGAAAACTAGAGTTCATCTCTCATTTCATGGCTGCTTATTTTTGTTCCTCCTCATTCAGTGACTGTTTTGGCCTGAGTTTCAGATTTAAGTTATTCATTTTACTTGTCTCAGGTGCTCCTTTGAGGAAACAGTAGATGTCCTGATGGATGCTGCTTCCTGTGCTGAAGTTGATCCCCTTAGGGGTGTATCAGAAAATATCATGCTGGGACAGCTAGCTCGCATTGGCACTGGTATGTTCAAATCTCCTCTTGATCATCCTAAGAAACGTAGAAAAAGTTAACCTGATTTATTCACTTATTTGTTGCTAGGAAGGCTGAGAAGTGTAGATATTTTGCTTTGAATGTGATCATATTGTGAATCGTTGCTGTTTTTCCAGGGTGCTTTGACCTCCTCCTGGATGCAGAGAAGTGCAAACTTGGCATAGAAATTCCAATGAACATTGGGGCTGGTATGATGGCTGGTGCTCGGGGGATGTTCTTTGGAAGTGCAGTCTCTCCATCAGGAATGTCTCCACAGATGACTCCATTTGCCCAGGGTGCTACCCCTGCCTATGGGAGTGTCTGGTCACCAGGTATGCATCCCTTTCCCCCTCCCCTCCCTTCCCATTCCTCTTGAAATATTTTAAAACATTCAATTAATCTATTTGCTCTGTTTGCCTTCAGCTGTGGGAAGTGGAATGACCCCTGGAGGGCCTGCATTCTCCCCATCTGCATCAAGTGATGCATCGGGTCTTTCTCCTGGCTATTCCCCTGCATGGTCACCAACTCCAGGAAGCCCAAGTTCACCAGGTCCCTCTATGTCTCCATACATCCCTTCACCTGGAGGAGCCATGTCTCCCAATTATTCCCCATCCTCACCCATCTATGCACCCTCCAGCCCCAGTCTCACTCCCAGCAGCCCTTCCTATAGTCCCACCAGTCCTGGTTATTCCCCTGCCAAGTATAATTACAGTCCCACCAGTCCATCTTACTCCCCAACAAGTCCCAGCTACTCCCCAACCAGTCCCAGTTATTCCCCTACAAGTCCAAGTTACTCACCTACAAGTCCCAGCTACTCCCCAACAAGCCCTAGTTATTCTCCAACTAGCCCCAGCTACAGTCCAACCAGCCCAAGCTATTCCCCCACAAGTCCCAGCTACAGTCCAACCAGCCCAAGCTATTCCCCAACAAGTCCCAGCTACTCCCCAACTAGCCCAAGTTACTCCCCAACTAGTCCATCGTATAGTCCTACGAGTCCAAGTTATTCCCCAACGAGTCCCAGCTACAGTCCAACGAGCCCAAGCTATTCTCCAACAAGTCCCAGTTACTCTCCAACCAGCCCAAGCTATTCACCAACAAGTCCAAGCTACTCGCCAACTAGCCCGAGCTACAGCCCAACCAGTCCGAGTTATTCACCCACGAGCCCATCGTATTCTCCAACGAGTCCATCATACAGCCCGACCAGCCCGTCGTATTCGCCTCAGAGTCCGACATATAGCCCCAGCAGCCCAAAATATTCTCCATCGAGTCCATCGTACTCCCCCACTTCACCATCCTATTCCCCAGGCTCTCCATCATATGCCCCATCATCTCCAAAATATTCCCCGAGTTCCCCATCATACTCCCCAACCTCACCATCATACTCACCCAGCAGCCCTAAGTACAGTCCCTCATCCCCCAAGTATTCGCCGAGCAGCCCGTCGTACAGCCCGACCAGTCCGTCGTACAGTCCGACGAGTCCGACGTACACGCCGACGAGTCCGACGTATTCGCCCACCAGTCCGTCGTACAGTCCGACGAGTCCTTCGTACAGCCCGTCGTCGCCCAGCTACTCCCCCACCACCCCCGGTTACAGTCCGTCATCGCCCACCTACTCCCCTTCCAGCCCCAGTCAAGACGAGAGCGAGGCCGAACCGACGAAGCGGACGAGACAGAGGAAGTGACGGTCTTGCCCGAGGTCGTTTGAACTCCCTCGATGGACCTGTGTCACGTTTGAGATGTACAAAGGACCGAGTGATTGTTCTCTGTCCTCCTTTCTTGGTTTCTCCTGTCTTGTTACCCCAGGAATGGTCTTTCTGGAAAGAAAAAGGACACTGTGAAGAGGTGGCTACTCTTGATGGTGTTTCTCTGGTTTTTTCTTTTATGTGGGGAATCCCCTTCAGCATCTTGAAAATAAATTCGGTTTTGATGTAAACTTTGCATCTGGTATGATACCGTTCATATACTCTTCTGAGAGGTATGGAGACTGCATGTACTGCACGTCTTGGAGAGATGCCAGATGCTATGGCATTCACTCACTCCCAGCAGCTCCCTATTCGCCACGAAACAGTCGTGCCCATTGCGTCGTGTGATTTTTGCAGTGCCTTGCATCGTTGTTCGTTATTTCTCAGATACTCAAAAGTCAGAGATGGGTTCGAATGAGGTCGACCGTTGGATCGAGGTAGCCAAACAATGCAAGTACCTGCCCGAGAACGACCTGAAGAAACTCTGCGAGATCGTATCGGAGCTCCTCCTGGAGGAGTCCAACATCCAGCCGGTCTCGACCCCCGTCACCGTCTGCGGGGACATCCACGGGCAGTTCTACGACCTGGAGGAGCTGTTCCGCACGGGCGGGCCCGTGCCGGACACGAACTACATCTTCATGGGGGACTTTGTGGATCGCGGGTACTACAGCCTGGAGACATTCACCCGGCTCCTCACGCTCAAGGCCAAGTGGCCCGATAAGATCACCCTCCTCCGTGGGAACCACGAGTCCCGGCAGATCACGCAGGTGTACGGATTCTACGACGAGTGCCAGAACAAGTACGGGAACTGCAACGCCTGGCGGTACTGCTGCGCCGTCTTCGACCTCCTCACGGTGGCAGCCATCATCGACGAGCAGGTGTTCTGCGTCCACGGCGGGCTCTCCCCTCAGATCATCCTCCTGGATCAGATCCGAGTGATCGAGCGGAACCAGGAGATCCCACACAAGGGTGCCTTCTGCGACCTGGTCTGGTCGGACCCGGAAGAGGTGGACTCGTGGAGCGTGAGTCCCCGGGGGGCCGGCTGGTTGTTCGGGGCGAGGGTCACCCACGAATTCCTCCACGTGAACAAACTCAAGCTCATCTGCCGTGCGCATCAGCTGGTCCACGAGGGGTACAAGTACATGTTCGACCAGAAGCTCGTCACGGTGTGGTCGGCTCCCAACTATTGCTATCGGTGTGGGAACATCGCCGCGGTGCTGGCCTTCCCGGACGTCAACACGCAGGAGCCAAAGCATTTTAACGCCGTCCCCGACAACGAGCGCGTGATTCCGCCGCAAATTTGCACTCCATACTTCCTTTAGTTTATGGCTTCGGGGGTTGCTTGCTGTTTGAATTGACTTGTCATTAAATTGTTTTGTCTCGGTAATGGCTGTTCTCTGGTACCTGTGTAAAAGGGATGATGCATGTAAAGAAACTCCAGCAGATGCCTCAAAATGAGGTATTCTGGATGACTAATCTCTCGTTCTGGCGAGCATGATGTATGATTTTCCCTTGCTAGCGTATTTTGTCTTCTCAACGGCAGCATTTTCCATTGTTAATGTGTGAGGATCCGATGTGGGGCATTTTTCCAGATCATTTTAATATAAGTTGCAGCCAAAAAAAAATTAGTTGTCTCGCGTACCTTGCAATGCTGGTAATTTTTTACCCCAAATCATTTGAAGCGTAAAAGTACGCGTCAGATTTCTTTCCTTCAGTAATGGCCGCCTGAAAATAATATCGTGCCCCACACGTGACAAGATTCCTCGGAAAAGATGCCGGTCGTGCTCGTCGAGTCGTGCATCCGAGAAGCATGCGTTGCCAGTCCCGAGAGGTAAAAAAAAGCCTTGCGTTCTGTTCGAAAGTCCAGGTACGCCTCACGCACGAGCGAAGATGCCCCCAAAGATGAGCGGGAAGGCGGCGAAGAAAGCCGGCAAGGCGCAGAAGAGCATCGCCAAGACGGACAAGAAGAAGAAGAAGAAGCGAAAGGAGAGCTACGCCCTCTACATCTACAAGGTCCTGAAGCAAGTCCACCCCGACACGGGCATCTCCTCCAAGGCCATGTCCATCATGAACTCCTTCGTGAACGACATCTTCGAGCGGATCGCAGCGGAGGCCTCCCGCCTCGCCCACTACAACAAGAAGTCGACCATCACCTCCCGGGAGATCCAGACGGCCGTGCGACTGCTCCTGCCGGGGGAGCTGGCCAAACACGCCGTGTCCGAGGGGACCAAGGCCGTCACGAAGTACACGTCTTCCAAGTGAGCCGTGGGCTTTTTTTTTTTTTTCCTTCGTTGGTCGGGGATCGTGTACGTGGATTCGATTTCGTCTGGGACCGTCTCTTCTCTCTCGTCCCATACTTTTCACATGCAAATTAGATGCTGTGCAGAAATAGAATCTCAAAAAGCTAGCACAATATCTATGTAGGCCATGCCCATAAAAAAAGGAC